TTATAATAATATAACTACCTTATATAAATGTGACAAATGAAATAATAATGAAAAATAAATAAGAAAAAAAATGAAGAATAAAAAAATATTCTTTCAGGTAAAAAAAACATAGTACGTATATCCTTAGCATATATTAAACATAGTACTATATTAAAAATTTATTGCAAAATTATAATAAATTTCATTATGGTAACTTATACGAGTACCTATAACAATCTATTTGCCTTCAGTAAAATTGGAAAACAAACAAGCGCCGTCGTTGAACATTTAAAAAATCGAATTGGTGGGTCATCCGCTTGATTTACAAACAGTCCTGATTGTTCCTGAACGTCAAGACTAAATCGCGTGGACAACGATTTTTGTCGGCACAAGCAACGACGCAGCCGTTGTTGCATTTAAAAAGCATGTTTTGGAGGCGTCTGAAGAAGATTGGAAAAAATATTTCCAGAAACAATAAACCAATTTTCAACGACAAGTTAGTAATTTTTTATTATTAGGCTTAAAATATAAGTTATAACCCTCGTAAAACCCAGTGCGCTTTAAAGGCAAGGATAAAAGTTAGTTAAGCCTTTCAAAATAAAAGGCAGAATGGATATTACTACGAGTCACTACGAGTCAGACTTGTTAGTTTATTATTAGTTCATAAAAATAATAACTATTACGGTCCCTGTATAAACAATTACATGAAAAGTAAATAAGTCACTATCTCATTAGCAGGAAAAATGTGTTAAACCTCTAACAATCAATGAAGTTGTAATTGTAGTTATCAGACAAAAGTCTATAAGAAATAAATACTCAGACGTACAAATTCACTTGTATATTGTATATATGTATATATGACGTAGACAAAAAAAACTCCAGTAGTGAAGAGCTGACGTACTTCTAATTAATTAATCATTTAATTTGTAAAACAAATTATATTTTTATTAAATTATATTCGCTTAGTATTAAATTGAACAGTTTATAGTCTTAAATGCAAGAACGTAAAACAAAAACAAATTAACTAGTGGCAAAAACGTACAGATCTCAAAGTTCAACAATTTAATTTCAACCATTTTAGATGCCACAATCAACATTTTTCCCATTCCAGTACACTTTAATTAAAAAATTTTTCTTCACAATTTCAAAATTACTTCTTCTTCATACACTAAACTGTACATTGTGCTTGTGCATTAGTACAAAGAATAATTTATATAGCGCAGAACTATTATTAAAGATCACATTTCAAATTTGATATAATTTTTACCGCTTTACGGCAATATGTGACATGTATATGACAACCATGCAACCATATAAATGGCTTAATAGAAGAAGCCATTAATTGGAGAATTAAAAGTTTTTAACAAGCATGAATCGTGCCAGTAATCATATATGTACGTTGCTCTACATTCTGCATCGAGTACTTCAGCAAAACGTCTTTCATACAAGTTCATAATAGTAAAATACGTTTTTAAAGTCGATTTATTATGATGACCATACTATGATGAAATCGGAGAGAAAAACCATTCCCTATTACATTAGTTTTCTTGTATAATAGCAAATGAAAGTCCTAGAAAGTAATGCGCAGTATGTAGACATTTTTAAATTATAACCACCAAAGGAAGAGTTCGAAGGAAATGGAAATTGTCTTCATAGTTTTATTAACTATGACATTAGAAAGCTATACCTAAATTCGGGCAATAACTCTATTACTGGACTAATAGACTACTACCTATGCGCTGCACTTTGCTTTCTCTAAACAAAAAATGCAAGCAATGAATTAAGGAAGTTTTTGAAATACAGTCAAACTTCCATAACTCGAACTTCTATAACTCGAACTTCTCTATAAATCGAACAAAAATTTAGTTCCGTTCCGATAGGTATATGGGAAGTGCATTCTATAAGTCGAATTTTTATTTTAAGTATAAATTTATTTTGCTGTTTTGGGGGAGTCCCTTGTTCCAAACCAAATGTTTAATTTTTTCTTTCTCATGTTGCTTATACTAGTCGCTGGCAGCGTGGTTTAAAGTAAATAAAATAACTTCCAATGCTACTCTTAACGAATTTATTAAGCTTGACAATAAATTTGTTTATCAAGATTTAATACAGATGACGACATTATTGAGCACTAAGCTCTAAATTACTGGATCTAATTCTAAGTGCAACGGAAAGTGATGATGATGGTCAGTGGATGTAATTGTTCATCAGCCTTCCAAGAATGAAGTAAGAGATTCATTGAAAATTCTGAATTTTTAGATTGTATATGAGATTTGTATGATTTGTAAGATTGTATATGGGTCATTCTTTTACAAACCGGACGAATTTTAACAAACAAAGATCTCATAATTTCCGATTTAACTAAAATTTTTTTTATGAGCTCCTGTTATGAAATAGGAATACCGGAATACCCGTATCTCGGGAAAAAATTTTGTGATATTTTTCCTAGGAGATATGGACCCATAGGGTTTTGAAAATTGGCATTGTAGACACATTTTCAAATGGCTATATCTCAGGTCATATAAATGGTACAGACTTGAAATTTGTTGCGTTTTAAAGATAATTGATTGAACTTTTAAGAAATTTTTATATTTAAGTACTAATATTAACCCTTACATTTCAAAAACATTTTTCCAAACATGTACCCAAAAAAAATTTTAATTAAGTAATAATTCGTATTTTTTTGTGAAACAATTACCTTTCTTAATGCTTTTGTAATTAAAAACAAATTCCGCCTTATTTTTCTTTCTCTAATGTGGGATTTATGCACTTTGGCGCGTTTTCTAGAAACGGATTTTTAATATCGAAAAACCAAAACACACAACTAAATTTCTCACAAAATGCTTTTATTTTTGCAAATTTCGTGGTGAGTAGGGACCGGGTGGGCAAAATAGCAAAATAGTCATTGCGTAGCATTAGGCCTTTTGTTTTTGTACTACGCGTTATTTTTACCTCATACATACAATTTTAAATATTATTTTTTTATCTTCTTTGAATAAAACCTTCATCATAGCAATTCTAAATACTCCCAGGGAACAAGTCTCCCTATTCCCACGCTATTCCCAAGAATAGAACTTTCTTATTCTGAATTGCTTGGGAGGCAGTTATTTTGGGAACAACAATAATTTCAAATTTGTTTTGTTAAATTTTGGCAACCATGGCACTTTTTTTGGCGGAAAGTGCGAAAATGAACAAAACAAAGAAAAGAATTGCGTATGATATGTTGATTTTAATGTAAAAATCGCATTATCCGAAATAAATATAATGAATACTTTATAAATAAATAATAGAAAATTTTTATTTTATTTATTTTATTATTTATATATGTATATAATTTATTATTTCCTTATATACAATATATACAATAAAACAAAGCAAAATATCTTATTTATTAATTGAAATTATTAATGTTTTAACTAAAATTTAAGTTCCTCTCCAAACCTCGTATTTATTTTCATAGTTAGGATACAAATGTCCTCAAATTAATAAACTGTAATAACAGTTTATGATTGTGCAGATGTTACAATAAAAACGGAGCAATGTTTTATCTGCACATAATTGCAAAAGTTGATTTTAACGTATTCTAGGAATCCCATTCATTTCAGAATTTGGGTTTCTGTCAATATCTATTGTTTTAAATAACAATAGTAATGCTTTAATTTGTGGAAAAAAACCCTAGTGGATAAAGTAAAAATTTTTTGCTATTAAAAATAATAGTCACTTTCGTCTCGAAAATTTGACGTTAAATTACAACTTATATTCACAAAATAATGGTCTCGCCAGTGCGACTAGTGGAGTAACATTAGCATGACTCTCTCAGCATTACGTTCCTAGATTAGGTTCTATACATAAGAAAGAACAAATCATGCAACAAATAATGCCTCTACAAACAGATTAGTATTGAAATTTAACAATTAAAAATAAAAATATAATTATTTAATTAATTGAATTATTCTACAGCTGGTTTATGATTTCGTTCTAATATAAACACAGCAAGTAAAATTGTTAATAAAAACTTTCATAGTAAAAGTAAAAACTCCAGAAAAATATGCGAACAAAAAAGTCAAATACGGCTTTGGATCAGTTGGTTAAGGCGCGCTGATTCTGAGCTTCACATTTGGCAGGACCCGAGTTCGATTCCTGGTACTTGCAGTCTCAAAAATAATTATTTACGAATAATTAAATACAAAAATTATTTCCAAGACCACTGATGATGGGTATTTGGCAATACTCGAAACAGCTGTATGGTTAGCCAAAAATTCAATTAATTAAAATAATATAAAAAATAAAATTTTTGTTGTTGTATTTTACTACTGTTCGAAAAAACCTCTTTGTAAAAATTTAAATGTATTAAATTTATTATAATACTTTTATTAAAATAATAATTTTAATATAATAGCATTCTTTCATAATAAAAAAAGCTAAAAATATCTGAAAATTAGTCAAATATGTTATTATTCAATAGTATTAGTGATTAAAAATGATTTTGGTGATTTAGTTTTACAGCACCGTAGTAGACACTATAATCGCGAGCTTCAGTCTCTAACACTTTTTCAAATAGTCATGGCTGTATTCTACAAATGTTATCAAATAGTGACTTAAATAGTTTTGCAAAAAATAGTGTTTCGAAGGTAAATCACATAATCAATTAGACCATGCTGACGCTCCATTTCAGAAATAATAAATTCATTAAACAGTAGCTTTAAAAACTCATTTACTACCCTTAAAATAATAATAAAATTTATAAGATGTTTTACGGAATATAGAAATATATTATCAAGTTTCGGTGATCAGTTGATACAGTAACGCTATAATTTCACAAAAACAAAACCAAAAATACATAAGATTCCAACATTTTAACTAGTTACTCAGCACATCTGAGTTGTTGGTCTTATATCCTATATTTTTATTAATAAAGATGAATCTAACATCACAAAATGCACAGTTAAGATGGACAGATGGTTTTAAAATTTACAGGTGCACAACGTGACATTATTATAGGAATCCTCTCTAAGTAAACTCACCTCTGTAATGCATTGCCCCATACACGTTTTAGTGATGAGTTCAATCATTTTGTCCACATCGTTTCCACTGCTAGTGTTTATATTGAAGAGTTCAGACCCGATATCTAATTCAGTGGTTGCATAACTGTTGAGTTGATAAAGGCCATTAATAACAGTTTCGTTATTACTGTTTTTACTATCCGCATCTTCTGTCGATGCATCCTCCGCTTTCGATTCACAGACACCACAAGAAAATAACAACAAAAGGAACACTAACGAATTAACTATTATTTTATTGAGAAATGCAACACTTAAACATTTTTTAAAATTTTGAATAATACAGATTAAGTGCCGCTTTAGCGTAGCTCCCAACAGTGACGTCATTATAATAAGTTCTTTAAGTTATTGTAATTTATTGCATATAAGTAATTATACATAAAATTAACAATTATATTGCTGTTAGTATTAAATCAACTTTTAGCTACACCTGCATTTCGCATTTTTAGTCATTTATTTCAGTCATTAATTAAAATTTTGTTAATTGCACACAGGTTTCACAATTTCTTAGTTAATTAAAGAATTTCAGTTAAAATAGCATTCACTGATATTCCAAATAAGACCCTTTCATTTCTTACAGTATTCAGTAAATATTAATGTTTTTTCATATCAAGTTATAATTATTTCATTTAATACGTTTTAATCTATTGTAATCCAACTATGCTCGCTGTTATTGGCATTGATTTAAATTAAGACTATAAGTATATTGTATTAATGATATTGAATATGAATTTTAATGTAATTTATTAAAACGATACTTAAATTCAACTTAATTATCATATTTAAATCAATTAAACATTTATTCACTTCATTGTGTTTTGTTGTGTACAACCAATTAAACGCACACGCTTCAGATCCCGTTTTGATTCTTCGCTAACGAAGCTCCGACATGAAAACCTCATACTGGTCTAAGCCAGAGTCGAGCCGCAACTGATAGGCATCGAGTTACGCTTCGTAAATACCTCGGGTTGTTCGAATGTCTTATATACAATACATAACGTTTATTTGTGCACAAAAAAACAATTACGAAAATACACTGTAAAATGCACTTGAGCTTCATTGTAAACAAGTTGTGAGTTCGTAGAAGAATCCCCGTTTATAAATGCGTAATTACTGTGTTGTCTTCTGAAGTATCAATGAATATTTGTAGAGCAAATCTTTGTCTTTTGTCGACACAACTAATTAATCGGTGTGTTATGTCATACGTCACACACTCATATTCATATCAATTCATTACATATCAATGCAGGCCAAGTTAAACAGTAAACGCGGGTACTGATTATTTTTTTCAGAAATAATACAGCAGGTGTCAACCTCAATTACTACCCTGATGATATATACGAGAAAATGAGCAAATTTGATTGTTTTCATTGTTTTTGCATAGATGAGTGTGTTAAATAAAAATGTGAGCCACGAAAAACCCTCTTGACATCGTCTCAATTAATAGCAGAACAATAAAATCTGTGACCGTTAACTTTGGCTTCCTGGCAAGAAATGTGAATGCCCTTTTACCCACTTAATGAGTATCAAGAAACGGTGATGATAACACATCAAATATTACTCCTTCCATTGATACACCTGTAAGGAGATACTTTGTACGTAACGGCGTAAAGAAAATCTTTTCAAAAAAATTAACTGTCCAAAATGTGTACAAAGATCAAAGGTAGACACAATATGTTACTTGATTTGCACGCAGAACATTGCCCTCTACAAAATATTCATTTTGTATATCGAAATTTTTAAAAATATTGGTTTAGCATTGTTTTAAAATGGTATTAAAAAATCATGATAAAGTATAAAAGTATAAAAGTATAAAAGTATAAAAGTATAAAAGAAGATATGAAAAAATATGTCTATAGCGAAAATTGATTTGAGAAGCCGATTTCTCGGAGCCACCGCGAAATTTTATTAGACTAATTAATAAAAGTGCTATTATATAAAAATTTGAGACTGCAAGTACCAGGAATCGAACTCGGGTCCTGCAAAATTTGAAGCTCAGAGTCAGTGCACCTTAATCAACTGACCCAAAGCCATACTTGACTTTTATGTTCGCACATTTTTCTGGAGTTTTGTTACTTTTGCTGTGAAAGTTTTATTAACAAATTCACTTGCTGTGTTTATATTAGAACGAAATCATGAACCATAAACCATTTAATTTAATATTTTAAGTTTTCTAAATGACATGCTTTAGTAATTAAGAAATTTTTTCTTAATTGCACAATTAAACTATGCTTTCGTTTCCATCCCTTAAAATGAATGGAATTTTATAAGAAAAAACACGAGCAAGTTTGATGAGAAATCAAAATTTTTTGATTTCCATCAGTTTCTGTTCCCCCATTGAGCCAAAATAATTTTTTTACGGAAATGTTTAATGGATTAAATTCAAATATTATATCTGAGAAGCATAGGTGAAAGAGTTTTTTAGTATTATCGCCTCGTTATTAGAGATGATTTTAGGTTTTTACACCATTGTCAAAAATTCTTTGCAATGGATTGTTGACGTTTATGTCCATATATGGTAGAGGGTACACGCTTACATTTTATTAAAAAATGTGTAAGGCCGTGTGCGAGTTTGATTAAATTGAGGTAAAGTAAATTGATTTTTTGCTATGCACTTATGTAAATATTTATTTATTTATTTACTACACTTGTTTATTATTTTTGGTTAAAAGTTTTCAAATTTATTTATTAAACATTTTATAAACTTTTCACAATTTCAAACTCGAAATTCTGGTAAATACCCACATTCGCTGCCATACCGACATAATATACTATTTTCTTCAATTTACCATCAATTTACTCGATCTCGCACACGACCTAAGATGTATATAAAATCACTGATTATTGAAATACTAATAATAAAAATGATGATGTATTAAATGTTGGACGAAGCGTTGTTTTACCATCTTCATTTATTACTTCTCAACGTAATATCTACCAAAACTATTTGGATGCTGTGCCTATAGTTCGCGTCTTTAAAGCATAATTAAATGATTTACTGAAATGCATTGCTACAAGGGAAATTTTTGGAAAAGCTGTTGCTTTGATTTACTCTATAGAGTTTCAAAAATACGGTTTATCTGAAAATTGTGTCAATAGAAAACTTCGATATGGTTGTACATTCTGAAATTACTAATCACGAAACGCATCCAAAGTTATATGAATATGTTGAACGGAACACATCACGCATGGCCCCCGCGGGTTACTAAATACAAGTGCTCTTTGCATGGTAGATGGAAGGTGTTCAAAGGAATCTCTTAAACATTTTTGCGAAAGAACGCGTGATTCAATAAATGGTTACCCTATTTATAGAAGACGAGATAATAATGCAACTGTTCATGTTAGGGGTTAAACACTTGATAACAGATACATATGTTGTTCCTTATAATCCGTACCTTCTTGCGAAATTTGATTGCTATAACATACATATTAACATAGAAGTTTGCACAACTGCTAAAAGCGTAAAATACATACATATATAAATATGTGTATAAAGGTTACGATAGCGTAAGTATTGAATGAAATAGCAATAATGGAATAAGTGAGGACTTCTCAGTTGATGGAGTAAATAACTTTGTTAGTGGACGATATATGGGGCTTACAAAAGCTGAGTGGCGTGTATATACATACTATTCACAGGTTAGATATACATTTGCAAAATAGGCAAAATGTGATATTTAGGTAGACTATGTCACGAACAAACTGCTATTGATAATAGCAGATGTATACAGCTATTGGTATTTTTTGAATTAAATATAGTCGATGCAGAAGCTAATCAATATCTTTATACTTTAATTCATTAACATTCTGTATGGAATGATAAAAATGGATGAAAAAAAATATACCGTGATGGCAATAATATAATACCTTTTGGTCAAAAAGTACTCGAATTTTGTAAATAAAACACACAAATTTAAATTTTATTCCAAATTTATTTTATCTCCTTCAAAATATGCTCCTTCTGAAGCGATACACATATGCCAACGCTTAACCTAATCTTCCCAATCTTACACTTTTCGTAGGCCCGTGAAGGTAGGGCTTTTAGTTCCTTCAGCGAATTCTCTTTTACCCATTCAATCCATTCAAAACGCTTACCACGAAGGGACAATTTGAGTTTCGGGAACAGGAAAAAGTCGCACGGATCTAGATCTGGCGAATATGGTACCTGAGCGATGACAGTGGTGCCGTGTTTGATCAAAAAATCGCGTACAATAAGAATTTTCCATATTAAAAATCGCTAAATGCTCTTGACGTAGTTTCACATTAACAGCTGCTGTAAACACACTAATTGACAGATGGCGCTCAAGTCTGTACCATATGTCAAGAAAGGGTAAACAAAGAAGGAAGTAGTTAACAAACAATAAAATCGTATGTAGTTTCCCAAAAAAACATAAAACTTTTCCATTTAAGAATTTTATTATTACTTATTAGGGGTCTGATGTAAAAGCATATGATAATTTTTTATAACATATTTGTCGAAGCGTGTCTTGCGCGTGGTCATTGCTAGTGATAATAATGAATGGAAGCAGTACTTAAACGAATCTAAAGACTTTCAAGCCATGAAACAAATGAGGGAATTATTTGCGATCATATGTACCAACTTAAGCATTGTTACTATGGAGTGAATTCAAAAGTTACTTAATTAAAGGCTTTGTGAGGGATTTTAATATTAATGTGGCCTACAATCGAGTTCTCTTAGAAATTGAAGACATTTTCACTATTCATATTTAAGTGGCGAAACCTTTGGTTTACCAATTCTCACTCACATGAACTATACTCGTTCTGAAAATATGGTTCATCCATTAGAGGAACAAAGACCTTTCCAAGAATTTTATGTGGAACGAAAACATATTATTGATCATGTTAAGATCGTAAGATAAGATCATGCAATAAGACATGTGTTCGAATAGTTATTATATACAAAATGTATGATTTAAATGTTAAGTGCATTGTTATTGCTTTCAGTAATATTACTTCAACACTTTTAATTAGAGATAAAATAATGCAGTCAGGTTTTAAGGCAATTTAAAGCAATTCAGCATAAAAAATTCTATTATTAGATAATTAGTTCTTAAAATTACACCAAGTGTAATAGTTTTTACGGTCATTATATTAATACACTATATTTCATCATCGATTAAGTATCAATGTGTCCAATTAATGCATTTAAAGTCATTGATATATTTTTAATTATTTTGTTAGTGGATATAATTAAAAGAATATATTATTTGGCGATAAGACTGTTCTACTCAGTAGTGATTTTAGACAAATTTAACCTGTTGTTTCACATGGGACACGATCTACTCTGAATGAAAATTCTATATTTAGGTGGAATGGAAGTTAACAAAGAATATGGAAACTATACCTGATAAATTAGATTTTTTCCAATTTTCAAATAAACTAGGTAACGTTATCCGCTGTTTGGTGAATAACATATATCATTGAATTGCCACCACAAATAATTCGTAACTTTGATAATATTAGGTGCTTTCGATGGCTCGTAAGTATGGCAAAAAATACTATGCTAGATGTTAGGAATACAGGAAATATTGAAATTTCCTTTAATAACAAAATAAGTAATAGTTTAGAATATTTATGCACCTAATAAGTTAAGAAATGTAAATAATTTTCAATTATAATTTCTCTATGTACTCCAATAAGTTTTTGAAT